ATGGGATGGGGCTGTGTCCCCATGGGATGGGCAGTGTCCCCATGGGATGGGCAGTGTCCCCATAGGATGGGGCAGTGTCCCCACGGAACAGGGGCTGGCCCTGAGGAGGGGAGTAGGGAATGGGCAGCGATCTCTCCCAGCAGAGCTCCTCGGTTCCCCAGTGCCGCACAAACTGCTGGGAATAGCTCAGAGACCCAGGAGGAGCGAGTGCTCTGGGAATGCTGAATTCCCTGTCACTGTCACACGTGCTGTGCCCGCACGGCAGCTTTGCCATTGTCCCCAGAGCCGCAGGAGAGGGGCCGGGGCCGGGCCGGGGGCTCCGGGGGAGCCGAGGTTTGTTCCCGTTCTCCAGGGTTTAATTAACAAGGAGCAGCGCTGCCTCCACGCTCCTCTCACCCAACATCTGGCCAAGTCAAACACAGCTGGAAGAGCTCTGCTCGCAGCCCTCCCGGCAGGAGCTGGCTCCCTCCCCGCTGCCGCAGCCCAGGGGCTCGGGGAGCGCTGCTTAAACTCTCCCAGCTCGGCACAGCCGCTTCCCAGGGCCCGGCAGGACGGGCCGGGGGGGCTGAGCCGCCGCAGAGGCTGCGGCTGGAGCGGGCAGGGGGATCCGGGGGCATCCCGCTGCTCCCAGCACAGGGGAGACGTAAAGCCGGAGTAAGAAGGGAGCAGCTGCTGCCCAAGCGCCGCCAGAGGCTCGGGAACATCCCAGGGCAGCCTCAGCCCTCCTGTCCCAGCCCGGGCCCGTTCCGAACGGGACAGTCACACACAGGGCCGGCTGCTGGACAGCCCCGCGGGGATGGAGCACAAAGTGCCACAGAGGGAGGCAAAACGGGACGGGACAGTTTCCTCAGGCGGGAGCCACACGCCCGTGTGAGCCCCGAGCCCGGGCACGGACCGGCCGTGGAGCAGTTTGACAATTCCAGGGTAATTCCGACAATCCCGAACGTGGCCTTGCTGTAAAGCCAAGCAGGGAGGGCAGTGGCAGAGCCCTGGGAAGTGCCAGCCACACCTGGTTCAGAGCCGTGCCAGGGCTGTTGGTGTCACACAGGGACCGCTCTGAAATCCCCTGCCCACATCTCTGCCGGAGCGGGCAGGGCAGGGAGGAGGAACTGCTGCTCACCCGGACCCTCCCTGTGCAAACACCAGGCTGAAGAGGAGGCGGTGGAACCACTGGAGCCAATTTATTGTCACAGCACAGCCCGGAGGTCACAGCCCAGCCCCGGCCCTTCCTCCCAAGGAGACCCAGCACAAGCTGCAGGGATCAGCAGAGGAAGCCGCGGCCAATCTGCCCCGAATTTCCCTGTTGGATCAGTAAATGGCCTCTCCACCCTGGCATCGAATGCAAGGAGCCGCATTAACCCCTTCAGCACCAGCCGCGCTCCCTCTCCACACCCAGCAGGACCCGGCGCAGCCTCTCCTGCTGCCAGGACGTTCATCAGGATGAAAAGCAGAGCAGAGGGGCTGCAGCCTCCCCACCCCTCTCCCGCGGCGGGGCCGATCCGGGGAGCAGCGTTTTCCCAAAGGCCAGGGCAGATCCCGCTGTGAGCGCTCCCTCCGTGAGCGGGACAGAGCAGGGCAGCCCTGGCAGGGCTGGAGGAGCCTGCAGGAAAAGCGCTGCCCAGAAATGCTCCTGCCAGCGCGGCACTGCTGAACCCAAGGCTCTCTCTGCTGGGAACGGGCTGCGTTGCAGCACAGCCGGGATTGAGCACGGGATAAAGCACCGGGACCGAGCAGGACCCTGTCCCCGGCAGGGCTGGAGCAGGAGCTGCCTGTCCCCACTGGGGTGACCAGAGACCCTGCCCTGGGACCATCCAATGCCCCGGGCAGCTCCGGGGGCTGCAGCCGCTCTGCCAGCACTGCCCTGGTGTCAAACAGGGCCGGGGGCTGTGGGATTGGTAGGGAACTGCTCAGAGACAGCAGTGGGAGTGGAAATGGGGCGGCTCCAAGGCACTTCACTGCCTTGGGGACACACGAGCAGGACAAGGATGCCCTGGCCAGTCTTTGGAACACAACAGAGAGGACAAGGAGAGCGTGAGTCCACCCAGAGCTGCTGCTGGCCCAGCACCATGGGGAGCATTCCAGTCCCTGGGATCAGGGGATTTTTGTCTAGCACCAGATCCCACAGCCCCACAAAGTCTCCAAGGACCCTCTGGTCCTTCTGCCGTCACAGAAATGCAGATTAGGGGTCCTGGCTTCAAGTACATAATGAATAAAGATCTGCAGTGTCCTGAAGAGCATCTGCAAGCTGGCAGGTGAGCCCGTTCCGAGAGCAGCAAGATCTGTCACCACTGACTGCCCAGGCAGAGCTCCAGCCCCTTCAGCTGAGTCCTCAGAGGGGATGGGGCTCCTCCAGCTGCTCCCAGAGCACTTTGGAGCGGTGATTCCTGGAGCTCCAGCCCCGTGTCCAGTGCAGCACGAGCCCGAGGAAGCGCGTCCGAGTCCCCGAGGAAACGCTGGGCAGGAGCAGCTGGAGCAGAGTCCGTGAGATCCATGGCTCCATCCCGGCCACAGCTGAACTGACGCTGGAGCAGAGCCCACGAGGGAGGAATCCTGGCTGGAACACGGGCAGGAGCTCCTTGCTGGCACTGCAGGGGTTTCTGGCAGGCCAGGGCTCCTCAGCTCGCAGCACATCAGGCCAGAGCCGCTGCAGCAGGAGCAGCACCAGGCTGAGCCTGGCCCAAATCAAAGCCCTGGGGCTGGTTCTGTACCAGGCAGGGCTGAGTCTGCGCTCCAGCACCGCCCAGCGTGCAGCAGGACGGGGACACAGCACCCCTGCACAGACACAGCCAGGAGAGAGAGGGGACACAGGGACACCAGGGGTGTGTGCTCACCCAGCCCACGCCACAAACACCGCCACTCTGAGCCGGGGCTCTCCTGGGATGTGGCCAGAGCAAAGGCAGGCTGACCACCAGAATCAAACCTACAGAGGAAAATTTGGCTTTGGATGATTTAGAGTTGCTGTTTAATCCCGAGACAGCGCAGCTGAGTGAGTTTGGAATTTAAGTTACAAAAAAAGAAAGCACTAGAAAATAATCTTGATACAAGAGCGATAATCAGCTGAGGTTCCCCACCCTGCGCAGGGAATCCTGCTCCACAATCCACCCAGCACAGCTGGGATGCTGCCAAGGCATTGCCTGTTCCCAGCACATGCTGGGAGGGCAAACTGTCCAGGGTGAAAGTTTCGTGGGGGAATCCCCAGCACTGGGAGTTAAGATGCTGCCACCAGCTCTGGCTTTGGCCTGTTCTTGATGGGTGACACTTCTGTGGAAGGAAAAGAAACTTATTACAGAATCAGGGAATGCAAATATCCTGCAGCCATCTCCCAAGGAGGATCCAGGGCTCAGAGTCCGCTCTGCAGGACAGCAAATGCTTGCACAGCACCTGAACTGAGAGAAATTTGTTATAAATAATGCCACATTCCCGTGTGGAAATGCCCCTTTGACACAGCACTGAAGAATTACAGACTTTGAGGATATGCCCAGCCCAGGGACAGACCCTGGGCAGGAGCAGGGCCAGCTCTGCCCTCACCCCCTGGACCCCACAGCCCTGGGCCGTGTTTTGTTTGGCCTCAGTGCTGACACCTGAGCCCTGTTTAGGAGTAAACAAGCTCCAAGGAAACCAGCCCCATTCCCCACATCCCAGATTGCTCCTGGGCAGATTCCACACAGGGAAATGGCTTCTTCCAGCTCCACTCTGCACAAACAGGGAGATCCAGCTCCTGGGAGTGACAGCTCCGGGCTCTGCTGCCCCAGAAGAGTCTCCACCAGGCTGAGTTCTCAGCTCCTCAGCACAGACACCTGATGAATCCCAGTGGGCTCCTTCCCTGCCAGGGAAGGTCACCCTCTTAGTGAGCTCTCCCATTCCCCAGCTTGATTCCCACACAGATCCATCCACCGAGCCTTCGGATGGCTCAGGAGCACTCGGGGACCATCAGCTGCGTGGAGCTCGTGCTCTGACAATCCTGGAACTGTGGGACTCCAGTGATCCTCATCCAGCTGCTTCCAAATCACTGCCAAGTGAGGTGGGAAGGGCTCCAAGTGACCCCAAGGCTCAGGGAAATCCAGTGTTGTGCAGGGTGAATCCACCATCCAGAGAATACCCGTCCCTGTGCCATGACAGCGGCCGGGGCTGCGGGAGGAAGCCTCGCCTGGCTCAGGGAACGGAGGAATTCCCTACGGAGCCTCCCGGAGGAAGGTGACACCCTGAGGTGTCTCAGGGCAGGAGGTTGCCTCAGAGCAGGTACAGGATGTGACAAGGACAGCAGATGTCACATCTGCTCCCCAGGGGAATGACCAGATGTCGGTGGAACTTGGGTGTTCCTGGGCTGGGGGCTCAGCCGGGCCCGTCCCCACTGCGGGAGCTGCTGCTCCCTCCCGTTCCCCAAGACAGTGGGAGAGGCTCTCAGGCCGTGGCACGGGACAGGAGCACGGGGAGCCAAAGCTGTGCAAGGAGAACATACCTGGGATCTTCTCCGGGAGCGGCTCCGAAGGAACCTCTGGAAGCTCCAACTGTTCCTGCAAGGACATTAAGGACAGCGTGTCACACATGTCACAGACCACAACTGGGCAAACACTGGGGGTGGCAGTGTCCCAGATCTCCCCCAGAACGAGCTCTGAGAGTAGGAAAAAGGTCCTTAAAAAACTGCTATTAAAACCAGCTTCCTAAAAATGTGGATTTTTATCCCAAAAACATCAACCCCACCTGAGTAATAGCATTTAATTCTTCTAGAATGGCATCTTCATCCTCCTCAGTCAGGCTGCCAGCCAGGAGCTCGTCTATTTGCTGTGGGAGAGAGGGAAGGACATGACATTCCCAGCCTGGTGGCTCTTGGATACAAGGCCCATCCCAGCAGCTCTGTGCTGAGGCTGCTCCCAGCTCCTCACACACGCACCCTCTGATAATCCACAGCATCCTGCGTTTCTCCTATGATCCTTTCCACTTCTTCTATGGACATAACCTGAAGGGCAGAGCCAAAATGCAGGTGTGGGAGGGGCCTGCAGGGAGGCAGCTCCAGCCAGGCCCCTCTGAAGTGCCCCAGCCACAGGTACCTGGTGCATTTTGTTCAGACACTCGTTGCCTATTTTCAGGCCCTCGATGACCTTCATTTCAATCTGGGTGAATTCAATGTCCTGGACCTGGAGCAGGAAGGAGAAGAGCCTGTCACACTTTGGCCAGGCATTGGCACAGGCTGCCCAGTGAATCCTGAAGGGATTTAACAGATATGGGGTGTGGCAGCTGGGGACAGTGGTGGCCCTGGCAGTGCTGGGGAGAGACTGGGCACAGAGAGCTCTTCCCACCTAAACAATTCCACGATTGCTATTATTAGGCAGACACAGGCTGCCAGGACCACCAGAGAAGCTGCAGGGAGGAGTCAGTGGAGCCCTTTCTCTCCTGACAGTGGCACCAGCAGCAGGAAACATCCACACAAAAAGCTCGGCACAGGCGGCTGCACAGCCCGTGGAGTGATTGCACCAGATCATCCAGGTTCCAGTTCCAGCCCAGACCTCCCCAAACCCAAACACATCCAGTTCTGAAATGACAGGGCTGAGACAAGCCCAGGAAGGCCCCAGTGCAGCCACCCCCCCGTGAGTAACGTCTCAGCAATTTCCAAAACACACATTTAACAGGGAACCTGCAGATTCCAAACACACCACTCTGTCTCTCCAGGGAAAATCATGGTACATGTACAATTTTGGAGACATTTGCCCTTGGACAGAGTGCTGAACACCTGCCAGGACCTGCCAGTTGGAATGGAATTCCAGGGGATCCAAGGGGAGCCCCACCCCGGACACCCCAAGGCGTCGCTCACCATCCGCTCCAGGTTGCTGATCTGGTTCTCTGTTTTATCCAGAAGCTGCTCCTGGTACCGTTTCTTTTTCAGCAGGAGCATGGCTTTCCTGAGGGACACAGAGGGAGGGCAACGCAGCAGGGATGAAGCAACTGAAGCCCAAAGGAGCCCCATCAAAGCCACCCTTGTTCTGTGCTTTTGCTAAAAGGGGACAACTTGTGTGCAGCTGGACTGGTAACCCCGACCCGCTCCTGCGAGGACAGGGGATGAGCAAATTGGAAACTGTGAATAAATCCTGCCCTGTGAGGGGGGACAGGCCCTGGCACAGGGTGCCCAGAGCAGCTGGGGCTGCCCCTGGATCCCTGGAAATGTCCAAGGCCAGGCTGGACGGGGCTGGGAGCAGCTGGGACAGGGGAAGGTGTCCCTGCCCATGGCAGAGTGTGGAATGGGATGAGCTTTGAGGTCCCCCCAACCCATTCCGGGATTCTGACTGCCACGCTCCAGCGGTGTTTCCTTGCCGGTGACACGCTGGAAGTGGCACTGCCGGCCCCGGTGTCCCCTGGCCCTCACTCTTTCTTGCCGTCCCGGAGCAGCTGCCGGGCCAGCGCCCGCTCCCGCTCCAGCCCCAGGCTCAGCCGCTTCTGGTACTGCCGGAGCTTGTCCCGCTGCTGCTTCAATTGCTGCGGGACAGAGACACGGGGGAACGCGGGGCGGGCGGACAGACGGACAGAGGGACGGACAGACGGACAGAGGGACAGAGGGACAGACGGACAGAGGGACAGAGGGACGGACAGACGGACAGAGGGACAGAGGGACAGAGGGACAGACGGACAGAGGGACAGAGGGACGGACAGAGGGACAGAGGGAAGGACAAGGGTCACGACCCAGCCCTGACACTTCCAGCGCCCCTCAGGCAGAGCCGCTGCCCCGCTCCGGCACCGCCAGCACCGGGAGTCGCTCAG